CGCTAGTGCTGGAATGTTAAATTCAGGTTTGAAATTCCGCATCAGTATATGTTTCTAGAAAAAAAAATTTCTCTAACGAATCTCTTTCTGGAAATAAAAATTGGCTGGACTCAGTCAAGAGATGTAGTAGTTTAGCAAGGAGATGCTACATTGGCAGAAACTACGCTCAGTTTAGTGAAACGACGCTGTTTCGGAAATAATTCGCATCGGCTTGTGCTGGAAATTGGAGATCAGATATGCAACCCATATGATGTCACAATTTTACATCATTCAGCGCATCTGTACTGCCCGTTATCCCAGACAACAACAGTTGCGTTGTCCTTGTACTGCTGCCATCGGACTGATAGATCGGCAGCTTCATAGCATTATTACTGCTTCTGCTAGTCTTGGTGTGATAAGCCATATTCTCATCATCAATCAGCTTATCAGTTTTTTGACTTCTGCTGAAGTCAGTGTTTGATGATTTATGGACCAGTGAAACTGAAAAATAAATTTGTTGAAGCACTGAATCGGTTTACAGGACAGAATCACTTCTTCGGGCCAGGATGCAGTGTCTCAGACTATGACTAAAGCTTCGGTTCAAAGGTAAGGAATTTTTGCATCAGTTTGCGACTAGGTGAAAGCGATGTAGTGGCAAGTATTTAGAATCACTGGCGACGCGCACTGGGTGGGCCCATTCGATCATGCGTTTTGCAGTGTTTCGTTCTGTAATAAGATCACTCGAAATTCCGCTAGCTAGAAACCTTTGGCATGCTGTTCCTCGAATTTCGGGAGGTTAATTGCCCACGCTATACCTGGACAAGGAATGTTCCCTTGAAATCCCAGGTTCCCAGCTTTCTCAGTTCCCGAGTTACCCAAACTACAGCCAGAAAATTCCACGGGGCCGTACATGGCAATCACGCTTGATGGGGGGCTGGATTTGACAAATTTAAGTAGTAGATGAGCTAGGAACACTTCCTGAAAGTTGGGGCTTGAATTTAAAATCTTTGAGTTCTACATGGTCGTGGGGACATAATTCCAAAATTTCAGCTTTCTTGCTTTTCTGGTTCCTAAGTTAGCGACTTTCCCCTCAAAACTTTAAGGCGCTCGTGTGCGGGACCTAGACGTGCGTGAGGATTGGTACCGCAGTCCCGGGGTGGCACCTGGCCGGGGAACCCAATCGCTAAATTTTGGCGCCGGAGCTTGCTTGGGTGTCGAGTTGAAATACCCGGACAGATGCACACAAACACACACACACATACGCACACACACACGCACGCATACCGGGGTCGTCGCAATGCGTTTTTGCATTTGCATATTTGCAAAAACACATAAAAAGCAATAAATCACAACGTTCATGGACTAATCAAGCGCAAAAATATTAAAGGGATGGAAAGGTATATACATGCACATATGTTTGATGTGGAAGTCCTGCGAAAAGGCGACAAGAATTGTGTGCGCTACACATTCGATGTGTCTTCAGTATACATACAGACAGACTAATAATAGGTGTTTCGGGAAGTGCTGTAGTACATGGGCTGGTGGTATAGTGAGTAGCACGTCGCATTCAGATGTGAAGAGTGGTTCGATTCCCTACTTCGCTGTATTTCTAATAATTCCCAGTTGCATTTTAAGCTTGCAACGACGTTAACCGTAGCGATTTTCGCATGTCTAGTTACAGCTCATGAGAAATCCACAGTGCTTGCTAGGCTTTAAACTGATAAGACAGATATGGAAGAATAATACTTACATCGACAGTTTCCTCTGTTGTCATCGGTAGTCAGGTCGCCATGGGCCCTTGTTATCTGTGGTGTCGACATTCGTCTCGTCTTCAAGCTCGAAGGATGCGAGCGTCGACTGGCACTTAGCTGGAACATTAGTTAACTTAAGACGTTTGCTCTAATTGAGGGAATGGACTTGTTATGCGTTTTTGCATACATGCTGTCTGTGTATGTAGGTACGTGTGTGTTCGCACTTTCTGTCACCCATTTTCAACTAGAGAGCCAGAAAAGCTAGAAGACTGAAATTTCGTACCTAAATCGCGCGCTACTCTCCCGTTTTAATGCCATCACTTGCGAACACTAGATGCAGCGTATGGAAGTCCAAAAATATATATGCAGATTTTTTGGTGGTGAAGCGATTTCGGGAACCAGAAAGAATAGAGAGTTGAAACTTTGCAGAGATATTCTCTGTGCATCTATGAGTTTAGGATTTAAATTCAGCACCTATGTGTGCATGGTTCTCATATACAGAGACAGGAGAGTTTTGGTGTGAAAACTGCTAAGTCGGCAACCAGAAAAGCTAGAAAACTGAAATTTTATGGGAATCTGATCGTTAAACGGAAACTATTCATTTCCTTTATGCAAAATTTGCGCTGATTTACGCTGGTGACCTTACAAGGTAGGTATAAAGCAATAACCATTCATGCAGTTAATGACCCGAGTACTTCAAGTACGTTACAAAAACGCATGATCGCAACAGCAAATCTGGTGTGTTGCTATCTGGGTATGCAGTTATAGTTACTGGCATGCATAATATACATGTAACTAGTTGGTCAAAATATGAATAGGAGCTTAGCACTGGCTGAAGGAGGGAAAGACGAAAGTAATTTTAAAAAAATACTACTGTTAAACTGAACTTCCATGATGAAGTCGTACTTTTTTCACTTTCCAACCTTTGTTTATTCTCCAGTTAACTTTAGCAGATACAATCATTCAACTTCTGCAACATTTTGAGCGGTTTTTCAAATCTTTTAATGGACAGTTTTATGTCACAACTGCTCCAGTTCCGATGAAGACTCACTGCTTAAACTCAATTAGACAGCATGAGGTACTTTTCACTGTAGGGAACATTGAGCGAAGGAGCTAAGGATCACCTGTCGATTGAGTAAGCCATAAAGTATAAAATTTGAAGCGGAATTGACATATTGCAAGGCGTGCACTCCGTACATGAAATATATGAACGACGAGCCGGGCATCTGCAGCTCCGCCGGTGGAAAAATTTCCAAATACAGCGAATAGAGCACTGAGATCCAGTACGGTGTCCTATAATTCACAATCCAAATCAATGCAGCAATAACAAAAAGCGATGTACAGTACGGTCATTAACAAATTTGACGCTGCATCGTATATCCCTATGGTAAGGAATAAAACCCAGGCTCTTCGGTGCGATCATGCATTTTTGCACTAAATTCGCAGATCGCTATTAGCAGGAATGATCCCTACGCTGTAGCTTAACAGTTGGGCTAATATTGGCCACGCTTTGATCCTTACCGGTATGCAAGAAGAAGGACATCAGTTGGGATGAAGGTGGTGCATTAT